CAGAACAGGCAGATTGACGAAGTACACTGCTGAGGGGAGCAGCGGGCGGGTTAGGAGAGGTCTCCCGCGCCATGTGGTCTCCTCCGGGGCAGGTGGGAATCGAACTCATGCAGAAGCGGCTTTAGATTCTCTGTGTAAGGTTTATATATTTTATGTATACAGAACTGGGGTACAGGCCAGAGGTGCAGGGAAGGTGAGAGGATTCACCCAAGACAGAGTGGGGAGCAGAACAGGCAGAACCATGAAGTACACTTCTTAGGGGAGCAACAGGGAGACAGGAGATGTCTGCCACGCCTTGTGGGTCACCTCCAGGTCTGGGATTGAACTTGCACCAAAGCCGCTACTGCCAGCTTTGCAGTGCTGTGCTTTAAACCCACTGCGCCACCAAGGAGGGCCCTGTCTGATTTTTTTTTAAACTTTTCTGCTCCACACCATTGACTTACAAGATTAGGGCTAACGTGAACATAACTTCATTCAGTGGTCAATTTTGTTTTACCTGGCTGGCATCAAAACCAGGTTATTTTACTTGCTTTCAGTAGTAACTGAAATATAATATTATCATTCAGGGTTTTGGGTTTACTTGACATTTTCCTACTTTTATGGACTCAGACTCATTTGTTGGTTTCTACTTATCTTCCTAACTGGTGAGTATTTAGGACTCAGACCTTGAAATGATGTTCTTTCTCTTTTTAAATCTTCACTCAGTGAAAAAAACAGGTTTTTTTTAAAATATTTATATTCCAATTTATACTCTAATTAAAAATATTTCCAATTTTCCTTTTTTTAAGATTTATTTATTTATGCATACAGAACTGGGGTACAGGTCAGAGGAGCTGGGGTGGTGAGAGGATTCAACAGGGACCGAGTGGGGAGCAGAACAGGCAGATCAACAAAGCAGACTGCTGAGGGAGCAGTGGGCTGGTCAGGAGAGGTCTGCCGCGTCATGTGGGTCACCTCTGGGGTGAGGATTGAACTCACGCTTAAGTGGCTTTAGCTTCTTTAACCCCCTGTGCCACCAGGGAGGGCCCAGCTTTCTGACTTTTTAATCCAACTATATACCCTATTCTAAATTGTAGACCCTAAATGCCTACATTTCCATGACTATGTAATGGGCTGTGATGCATTGTGTTTAAAACAGGGTCTTGGGTGGGTGTGAGGTGGAGAGAGGTTTGAATACAAGCTACCAGTGTGATGTCAGCTGACTCCATCACGGTTTAGTCATTTAAAACCGAGATAGGAAACTTCTGTTACTCCCCTGAATCTGCTCTTCTCTTTCCATAGATGCCTTCCTTTCTTTCAGAATTCAGTCATGCTTGAGTTCTCTCAATCTTTTGCATTCTTTATCTGATTAAAAGCAAATCTAATGGCTCCTCCTCCTAAATATATACACAAATCCAACCATTTCTTGTCACCATTATAGTCATAATTCTAGTCAAAGCCACCATCATGCTTTAACCACAAGTACCATAGCAATGTCCTGACCAGTGTTCTGTCTTTTACACTTTTCAGTTTATTCTTAACACAGTTGCCTAGAAAATGAACATCAAATGAAGTCATTTCCTGCCTTAGCACCACCCATGTACTTTCCCATTCACTAGGGGTGAAAGGCAATGTCCCTTCAGTGACCTGTGTAGCCCCACGTGAATCACACCCCTCCCCCTCTCTAAAGACTCTGGATTAATCCAGAGCAGACATCTGAGCGAATGTCTCTGACTTACTGATCCCTTGGCCGAAAGTGCCTTTTCCCCAGCTACGCAGGGCTTGCTCTCTCACTTCCTTTACATATCTGTTTGTCACATTACTGAGGTATTGTTCCATGACTACTGCACCTACAGTTGAGGTCCCCTCCTTACTATACATCTTATTATTTTTCTCTCCCTGGTTTTTCCCTCTAATATTTAATACTTGCTTATTTATTTTTATCATTAGCGTGCATAGTCCATAAAAACAGACATTTTTGTTAGTGTTATTTGCTGCTGCTTTATCCTCCTAGAACCCTGCTTAGCCATAGTAAGGCTTAATAAATATTTTTGATACATGAATTAATGCATACACAGATATTATTCAATAGTAAAAGAATTTATTTTATTAGTAAAAGGAAAACATTTATGATATATACTTATGAATAAGTTCAAAAACATCTTGCTAACTAAAAGAAACCAGGTACAAAAGACTCTCTGTAGAAACAACTCCTTTCATATGAAATCCTAGAAAAGGCAAAAGTCTAGCTCAGAAAGCAAATTTGTTGCTATCTGAGATTTCTATGGAGATGTGGAAGATAACTGATTGCAATGGGACACGAAAGGAATTTTTGGAGGGTCAGAATGTTCTTTGTCATGATAGTTATGATAAAATTACCACCCTATAGGGACCCTCCCTGGTGGCGCAGCAGGCAAAAGCACAGCACTAAGAAACTAAAGCCACTTCAGCATGCATTCGATTCCCGGCCATGGAGGTGACCCATACAGCACGGCAGACCTCTCCTGACCCGCCAGCTGCTCCCCTCAGCAGTGTACTTTGTCCATCCGCCTGTTCTGCTCCCCATTCTGTTTCTGGTGAATCCTCTCACCATCCCTGCACCTCTAGCCCCAGTTCTGTACGCAAATAAATAAATCTTTAAAAAAAATTACCACCCTATCATTATGGTGGTTGTTATATAGTGCAAAATGATTGTACACTTAATTTTTGGACATAAGTTATACTTTGATATAGATAAATAAAAATCTCAAAGTATATTATATTTGAATTATTTTTGTGTTGTGAGAAAGAATAAGAGAAATAAAATCTCAAAGGCTACATCCTACACTTAAAATCACTATTTCTGAGGAGAATGAGATTTGAGCAAGGGATGTAAGGACAGTGAGAATGTAAGCGCTGAGTGATAATGTTTCACAAATTTATTTTGCAAGTATTGTGGTAATGGTTTTCTGATATTTTAGGTATGTAATATAAATGATGACCGGACAAAAAGCAGATTCAAAGAATAAAAAAGATGTCCAAAGTCATTAATCAAGGGAAAATAACTCATACATCAAAAATCACAATAATTTTGTCAAAATGACTACTATCAATAGGACAAGAATTAACAACTGTTGGCATGGGTGTTTATTAAAGGGAGCCCTCTTGGGTCCTCTCTGGTGGCACAAGAGTTTAAGACACAGCACTCTGAACCTCTCTGCAGCCACAGCAGCATGAGTTAGAGCCCTGGTCAGGGAGTTGACCCACATGACACAGCAGACCTCTCCTCTCTTGCCCATTGCTCCCCTCAGCAGTGTATTTCAATAGATCTGCCTGTTCTGCTCCCCACTCTGTCTCTGGTGAATCCTCTCATCCCCCACATCTCACCTACACCCAGTTCCTGTATGCATAAGTAAATAAATCTTAAAAAAAAAAAAAAAGGGACCCCTCTTGCTATGTTGGTGGAAATGTAAATTGGTGCATCCACTATGAAAAATAGTATGGAGGTTTTTCAAAAAAACAAAAATCAAACTATCATATGATCTAGCAATCCCACTTATGGGTATTTACCTGAATTAAGAAAAAATAAACAGTAATTTAAAAAGCTCCATGCATTTCTATATTTGTTACAGTATTTACAGTATATGGAATATATAGAAACACTGTAATTGTCCATAGATGAATGGAAGGATGCACAAAGAATATGTATTAATGTTGGAATATTACTGAGTTGTGAAAAAGAATGAGATCATGTTGTTTGGGACATGGGTGGATCTTGAGAGCATTATGTTAAGTGAACTAAGTCAGGCTGTAGTTTTTCTTATATGTGGAATCTAAAAACACACAAAACAAAACATGTTTAAAACTATATATATATATATATATATATATATAAACAGATTGGTAGTTACCAGAAGGAGGAGAGTTAGTTAGTGGGTGAAATGGGCAAAGGGTATCAAAAGGTTCAAATTTCTAGTTACAGACTATGTGAATGAGAGGTACATCATGGAGACTATAAGCAATAATACAATATTGCAAATTTGAAGGTTGCTAAGAAAATACTTTAAATGGGTTTACTGTGATGACCATTTTGCAACTGCAAATGCATATGAATGTTGAATCAGTTTGTTGTATATCTGAAACTAAAATAATGTCGATCATATTTTGATAAGTGCCTGTCTTGCTTCGTCAGTTACCATGAACTCTCTCAGGAGGCCAGCAGAGTTTAAAAAAAAAAAGGTGGGGGTGGAGGGGTCAGATAGTCTCAGGCTGAAATTAGATGGTAAACTGTAATTTTAAATAATGCAGTAATATTCTTTCCCAGCATTCTGTCTCAAGGGTAACACTTTTCATTTTAACTTCCATAGTAATGATCCACGCTTGACATCCGAGTCATGTTTTTATTAAATTCCAATTAGAGATTTCTGGAATAGGAAAGTCCTTCACTATGGGGACATATCTTGTACGATATGAGAGAGTAAAAGCTTGGGATAAAACAGAATGTGAATGATACCAGCTACCCTGAGGCCCTTGACTAGCGCTAGGCCTCATGGAATTTAGCTTTCTTATAAATTCTAAGCATTAAAAAGTAACAATATTAGCTAAAGTCTTAGATGGGAATATAACACATTGGTAAAATAAATGGTAAGATCTTCTAATAAGAATACTTTTAAAGTGTTTTTCTCTAAGATATTTGTAATTTTTTGCCTACTTTTATTCTTCCCCAAACTCAAGCACCATTTTATTTTCTAAAAAAGACCTATTTTAAAAAAAGCTATTTATAGTTAAATTTTCTTTAAAGTGAAACTAGATAAATGTTGATGTTCAAATCATTTGCTTAGCCTTTTAAATTCAGTTAAAAACAATTATACACAATATAAATTTTGTATGACTATAAATAAGTACGCATAGAAAATGCCTCAACATTTTTCAATCTGGCTTGATCTTGGGTATAGTATGTAACTTCACCACTTAGTGCTTCCCTCTTGGGTTTTTTTTTTTTTTTTGGTATCACTACTTAGGACTTTCCTCTTTATTTTTATTTTTGTTATATTGATACAGGACACCTTTGCACCTGGCTTCTGCTAATGGATATTCAAATATTGTATCACTCTTAATTGAGAAACAATGTAAAATAAATGTCTGGGACAGAGACAACAGATCCCCATTGACTAAGGTGTGTTAATTTTTCCTTTTCAGTTAGAATGTTTTTGAATTCTAATTAACTTTTGTTGGTGTTTATGTATTAGGACATAGTATTAACCACCAATTTAATATAGTAAACGGTAAATAGTAAACTGTTCATCTATTCTTGTTGTATTGACAGGCAGTACAGTGTGAAAAGGAACTTTGTGCTATTATTCTTTTACACCATGGTGCTGACCCAAATCTGGCAGATAAAGATGGCAATACTGCTCTTCATTATGCTGTCTGCGGTCACAATATGTCACTAGTCAAAAACTTGCTTGAACACAAAGCTGATCTTGAAGTTCACAATAAGGTTGTATATTAAAAACCTACTGTAGAGCCAATTTTTAGGAAAAATGAAAGCTACTCATTTCAAATAATTCATATCTGTTGAAACATGCTATATAAAGAGAGAATTTTCCAAACTGAAAATGAGGAGGCGGGAAGGAGGGTAAGATTATCAAATACTGGTAATATTTTTCTTTTCAAAATGTCTATCCATTTTTGATCTTGACTTCCAAAGCAGCACTGTGTGTTAACAGTGATAACTATTCAAATGTCCGTATCAAATGAAAAATATTTGATTCCCTCACAAGTGGATATTCATTAAAATCATAAAGCCCACTATTTCTATGCTGATAGACTCGTGAATAATGATAAGAATAGGGTTGAATTAGAAGAGGTTAAATAATACAACTCTTTTGAGACTTTATGGATAATTGGTAAATGTGTATTTTTTAAAGTATCATACACTTTAATTCACTTATACTTTGTCTATATTGACAACCCAAAAGAAGTGCCAACATTGGAAGTTTCTTTAAATGAAATTCTATAGAACCCAACTATAATAATAATATGAAAAAGTAAATTGATGTTTGCAATACTTACTTTAAAATTAAGTATTCATCACTTAAATATTCCAAAATATTTTTGTCCACAATTTGAAGTAAGGCTAAAGTAGAAACCTTAATTTTATTTTTTGGCTGGTCCAGCACCAATTTATTTATTTGACCTTTGAATTGTATTGTGTTATATCTCAAAGTCTTTTAAAAATTAAAGTCCATATTGAGAAGTATCTTATAAGCACATAGATTTTTTTTCAAATTGAACTTAAAACTACAAGGTGTGTAACACTGATACAGTATTCTAAAAATGATTTTGAAATACTTTTTTCAGGATGGGTATACTCCACTTTTACTTGCCATTACTAAAAATAATGCAGAAATGGTAGAATTTCTTCTGAAGAGAGGGGCAGATGTGAATGCTTCAGATAAGAATCAAAGGTATAATTAATGCTAACCAAGAGCATATTAACATAGCTACCTAGTGGGATAATATATATTTGACATTGAGAAATGATCTGGCCATATGATCTGGGACAAATTATCTAGATTACCCTATCTGTCTTTCTAACTGTTGGGTTACAACAATTGATGGATTATTGTAACATTGGAATCTTAAAACAGAAACTCAATCTCTAAGTCCAAGATGTTTTAGTTAAATGGAAATAATAGGGGACACAGAACCCCGGGCATGCCCCTCCACAGAATTTTAAGACATCACCTTGGAAAGTGCTATACGGTTCCAGGGAACAAGCATTAAATATCATTGAGTTGGTTGCTGCTTAGGTTATTTTTATCTTTAAGACTAAAGATGTGACTGGCACATCTTTGTGAGTAAATCTGTACTTCTCCTCTTTTACATTCTTGCCCTGTACTCTGTCCAGAGTACAGACTCCTCACTTCATTTATTAGTATCCACTAACTTTTAATGTGTTTTGCTTTGTCAAATCTTTCATAAATATGCTTTCTAATATGTAAACATTCAGTGTTTGTCTTTGCCATTTTGACTTGCATTACTACACTTAATTCCCTCCAGCTCCACCCATTTTGCTGTAAATGTTAACATTTCTTTTTTTTCTTCGTAACTGTTCATTGTGTGGATATCCCCAATCCTCTTGATCCAAATGTGTATTAGTGGGCTCTTAGGTTGTTTCCATGTCCTCGCTATTGTAAATAAGGCTGTAGTAAACATTGTAAAGCACATAATCTTTGGCTTGATGGTATAATTCCCTTAGATAGCTGCCCAAGGTGGGTTTGCGGGTGGATCAGGAGAGGTCTGCCACACTGTGTGGGTCAGCTTCCTGATGGGGTATTGAACTTTTGCTGCAGTGGCTTTGGAGAGCTTCATAATGCAGTGCTTTAATCAGTTGCTCAACCAGGGAGAGCCCTAAATATTACTTTTAACAAGGGAGACACAAAAAGTGCTGGAGAAAATACAGAGAAAGAAGATTCCTATGAAAATAAGCGACCAAATCATAACCACGACAAAAATACAAAACAAAAAGACGCACCAAAACAAAAACACGAGAAAATACACCACAAAGGGAAAGCAAAAACATTAAAAAAAAAGGCTCTACCAGATAAAAGGTCCAACAACAAACCAACAGGAATCTTCTTTCACTGTATTTTCTCCAGCAATTGTTGTGTCTCCCTTGTTAAAAGTAATATTTAGGGCTCTCCCTGGTTGAGCAACTGATTAAAGCACTGCATTATGAAGCTCTCCAAAGCCACTGCAGCAAAAGTTCAATACCCCATCAGGAAGCTGACCCACACAGTGTGGCAGACCTCTCCTGATCCACCCGCTGCTCCCCTCAGCAGTGTATTTCAGCAGATCTGCCTGTTCTGCTCCCCACTCTGTCTCTGGTGAATTCTCTCACCCACCATACCTCTGGCCTGTACCCCAGTTCTGTAAGCATAAATAAAAATCTAAAAAAAAAAAAAAAGCAATGCTGAATATTTACCCTTGTATCCATTTAGCTATCTGGGTATCCTCTTTGGTAGATTATCTATTCATATGTTCTATCCATATTTTGATTGGGTTGTTTTTCTGTGTGTTTGACTTGAATGAGTTCTTTGTATACCTTGGATATTAACTTTTAAGACTTTTTAAAAACTACAATGCATGTTTAACATTCATAGAGAAATATTTATTTTCCCCTCATACTCCAGAACAGCGCTTATGATTGCTATCAGTAATGAACCAACAAATATAGTTAGTATTCTTCTTCAACAAGAAGTGGACCTATCTTGCCAAGACATTCATGGATTCACAGCTGAGGAATATGCTTCTTTCAATGGTTTAACGATGTAAGTGCTATGGCAGCCTTTTAACAAATATGTAGGATTTGATCAGACAGAAAGAATCATGAACTACAAAGTACAAGCTGGAATAGGCTCTGTAGTAGGGTAAGTAACCACGTATGAACTCTGGACCCAGGGATCAGGGATCCTTGATTTCCCATTTGTAGGGAATCAATCAATACAAGAAATGCAGATAGCACAGTCTTCAGGTGAATTTGTATGGAATGGATTATATTGTGGAATGGGAATTTGTGCATGAAGGGACAATTTATGTAAAGAGGTTGCAAGCTCTATTAGTGAAAGAGAGGTCCGGAATAGATTTATCTCTATGGCTCTCAGAAGAAACCTATGATGCTGGCACCTTGGTGAGAGACATTTAGCTCCCAGAATTCTGGGAAAATAAATTTCGGTTGATTTAACCACCTAATCTATGTGCCAATATACCCTAAAGCTACTTTTTCTAATGAGCTATAGTGGAAAAAAGAAATGCCAGAAAATGAAAAGGATTTAAAATTAAAAAGGTATTTATTCAAGTAGTTAGCTTTAAAGGTCACTTGAGGATGGTAGCAAGTGTGTGGCATACTTGAGAAGGCATTAATTTCAAGATTTTGATTGATAATTATGCATTTTGAATTGAATTGACTATAGGTGCTGGAATTCATATATAAATATATATCTTTATTCTCTTTCTGTATAGCTTTCACCAATTAATTGCTAATTATGAAAAGGACAAGAAAATTAAACAGATATATAACTCTGCCAAGACACATGTGGTCACTACATTTGATACAGAAGAACAAAAGCAGGGTAAGAAATACAAACTGAGCAAATAATTTTGCTTTTTTTTTTCTTAAAGATTTATTTATTAATGCATACAGAACTGGGGTACAGGCCATAGGTGCAGGGGCGGTGACAGGATTCACCAGAGGCAGAGTAAGGAGCAGAACAGGCAGCCAGATGAAGTACACTGCTGAGGGGAGCAGCGAGTGGGTCAGGAGCGGTCTGCCGCTCAGGGGTGGGAATCAAACTCATGCTGAGTGGCTTTAGCATCTCAGTGCTGTGCTTTAACCCACTGTGGCACCAGAGAGGGCCCAATTTTGCTTGTTTTTATCTGATTCTTTGCAAGGGGCATGACTTTAACTTATATTTACCGTTGAATGTGAAAGTTTCTCCTATTATGTCATCTGCAAATGGTGATAGGTTTACTTCTTTCCTAATTTGGATTCCTTTTATGTCTCTCTTAATTCCTAGTTAGGACTGCTGTTCCTATATTGAATATTAGTGATGAAAGTGGACATCCTTATCTTTTATCAGATCTTAGTGGAAATGCTTTCAGTTTATCACCATTGAGAATGATGTTAGTAATGGCTTTGCCATACATGACTTTTTATGTTGAGGTATGATCCCATCTATCTCCATTTTTAGAGGGTTTTTATCATAAATGTAAGTTGAATCTTATATGTTCTCTCAGCATCCACTGCGATGAGCATATTTCCTATTTTTGAATGCTGAATTGCATTGATTTTTAGATGTAGAATCATCCCTGTGTACCTGGAATAAGTCCCACTTTGGTGTATGATCCTTCAAATGCATTGTTGAATTCAGTTTTCTAAGATTTTTGTTGATTTTTTTCAAGAAAAAAAAATTTTTCCAACAAAATTTTTTTTTCCTGTTCATCAGGAAAACTAATCTGTAGTTTTTTTTGTGTGTGTGTCTCTGTGTGTGTGTGTGTGTGATATTGTTATACTGGTAAAGTTGATCTCATTAAATGTGTTTGGAAGTATTCCCTATTTCTTATTTATTTGGAAGAGTTTGAGAAAGATCAGTATTCACTGATCTTTGAAGGTTTTGAAGGTTTTGGTCCTGGACATTTGTTTATGGTGTAATTCTGACTATTGTTTGTTTCCTGGCATGTAATTTGGTGTGTTCAGGTTTTCTATTTGTATCTGACCCAGAATCAGATGATTATGTATTTCTCAGAATTTGTCCATCTATTCTAGGATATTCAACTTACCAGCAGACATATGTTCAGAGTACTCATATGATGTGATTAAATTTGATCTAATTCCTTAGCTTTTTCCATATTTTTTTATCTCTTCTATTGATCCTGCATTGCCATTATTTCCTTATTTAAAACTTTTATTTATATATCATCTATTCATTAATTTTATTCCTCAGGACCTTCATTTGTTTTCTGAGATTTTTTTTTTTGGGGGGGGTATATATTAGCTTTTCTGTGTTTTCTGACATTTCTTTGAGAATTTTTACCATGGGAATTTTGAATTCTGCATAGGATATGAAGAAAAGCTCTTCCATGTCTTTGTACTTGGTCTGGAAGTTTGTTCTCTCTTTGTGGTGAAATGTTCTTGTGGGATTCATTGTGTCACTTGTTGTATTTTCCATCTTTCCATTTTTGAGTTCTTTAGGTTACTGTTCTTTCAACTATCCTAAGGTTGCAGATTTTCTACTTTTTTAGTAGATGATGCTGTATATTGGGGAGAAGTGATTTGAAGCTGGTTGGTTAGAGGGTGGAAGAGGAATTTGGAGGATACTACTCTGTTAAAAATAGCTTTTTGGCCCTCCCTAGTGGCGTAGCGGGTTAAAGCACAGCACCAAGAAGCTAAAGTCACTTCAGCAAGAGTTTGATCCCTGCCCTGGAGGTGACCCACATGGCGGGGCAGACCTCTCCTGACCCATCCTTTGCTCCCCTCAGCAGTGTACTCTATCAGTTGGCCTGTTCTGCTCCCTGCTCTGTCTCTGGTAATTCCTCTCACCACACCTGTGCCTCCTCTGGCCTGTGCACACCCAACTCTGTATGAAAAAATAAATAAATCTTTTAAAAAAAATACCTTTAACCAGCTACAAGAAGTGGTTTGTGGGGGAGTGGTGTTTGGGAGGGCTACTGCTGAAAGCCCTCCTCTCTGGGTTTCCCGGCCTGTGTCTCTGTCTGTGGGCTCTCACTCTGTGTTTCATGGGATCAACTTGAGCCCTGATGGGTGGGTAGGGGAGTGCCATCCTGTACCATCTTCTTCAATGAGGACTTGGCTGGCCTGAGACAACCTAACTTCCTCTGCACATCTCTACCCTTAGTGGAGGCTCCCCTTAGTGGAGGCTCTCCGCTCCCCAGGGCCACCTGCCCAACATGGGAGCACTGCTCTGAAATTGGCACAGCAGGCTCCTGCCCCAGCTGCAGTCTCAAGGTGTCTCTCTCCACCCACCTTTGTTCTACGGAGTTGAATTTCCTCAGTATCCATTCGTCAGGGCTCACCAAGAAATTCTGGTGCTTTAAGCTCTGGATCTGGACCTACATTCTGTATTTCTGTATCCTTCTCACCAAATACATCTCTCTCCCTCTTTTTTTTTTTTTAAGATTGATTTATTTATGCATACAGTGCTAGGGTACAGGCCAGAGGTCTAGGGGTGGTGAGAGGATTTACCAGAGACAGAGTGGGGAGCAGAGCAGGCCGACCGATGGAGTACACTACTGAGGGGAGCAGCGGGCGGGTCTACCTCACCATGTGGGTCACCTCCTGGCAGGTGGGAATCAAGCTCATGTTGAAGTGGCTTTAGCTTCTCAGTGCTGTGTTTTAACCCGCTGCACCACCAGGGAGGGCCTCTCTCCCTCTTTTTAAGATCCACATAGCAATAAGTAGTAAGGATTTCTTTAATTTATACTTCATCTCATTAGAGAAACAAAGCAACAGAAAGTACAGAAGTAGCACTCCTACTTTTGAGTATGTCCTGAGGGTAAACTTCTTAACCACCCCAATTCTTTTATCCTAAAAATACACAGTGTCAGTTTCTATTGAAATGTTAATATCTATATTTTTAAAGCATAATTTTATATTTATTAGGTTAAAAAAAAACTAGTCGAAGTTTTTGCAAAAGATGGCAAACTTTAAAAGATGCATTTGTATCAGATTAAGAGGGAATAACTTAGTTATGGTTTTTAAAATTACTATAAAACGCATAAGGATTTGTGCCAAAATTATAATTGTGTTGACATTGAGAATAGGACATAATAAGAACAGGACATAATAAGAAATGAAGATATTTGAAGGTAAATGAAGAAATCTCACTTGTTTTTTAGATGTGTAACTTCATTTCTACAAATCCTTTACTGCTGCCTTGAATTGGAAAAGTCTGTTTTGAAAGAACAGTTGAATGAACTATCACACCATTTTTGCTGACTACTGTATTGAAGAAAAGTTTGTTAAATGGAGAACAACTTTTCCCTTAGAAGATGTGAAGAAAATTCAAAAGACAAACATCTAGCTGATGAGCCATCAGTAGAAATAACACAATGTATGTTTGGTATACAGACAGAGAAACCTTTTAGCTAAACACTGAGTGGGATAATAGCATGAATACCCTTTGCAACACACTGTTAAGCATGTATTCAGACACTTAAGTAATATAAAGGTAATAACATTTCAAATACAAAATATGGGAAAAATTATAAATAACTGCAAATGGGAATTGTCTTTGTTTACAAGTATATTTGTTGGTGATGCCTTTTGGAACTACTACAAAAATACAGAGTCATAAAATTTGGGTATTTATGGAAGAGAAAAGAAAATGCATTAGTATCATCACCCAAACAAGCCACTTGTTAAATATTTGGCATGTTTCTTTCTGTAGTCTTCTGAAGTGTATTTAGGAATTTTTTTTCCCCCCTCAAAGGGAGTTTACAATTTTGCATTTTCCTTTTTTAAAACACGGTAGTATGCAGTTTTCATTGTGGTCTTTAATGCAATTGAAACACATGCAGCATGATCTGGCTGCTTCCCGGGAGCGTCAAGGTGGGTCACGCAGTGTACTCTGTAATCTGTCCCTTTGCTCCTTCCGTTTGGAATGCAAGCTCTGTGAGAGCTTGAACAGCTCCTTCATAGTTAAAGGCTACCTCTTGTGAAAGGTCTAGTGTATCCTAGATATTCAATTTGTTGAACAGGCAATCATAAGCTACACTGGACAGGTTCTATTTAAGCACTTTATATATGTT